GAACAAGCGATAACTATGACGTCGCTTCAAGTACACGCAAACCATGCGATCGAGGCTACAAAGCCGCTCGGCTACAAAGGCTACGCTTCATTGTTATGCAAATTTAAATTATAATTACCATGGCTTTACTAGAAGCTGAATAACTTTTATAACAAACTCTAAATATCTCCTACGTTAAGTTTAATTTAGTCCGCTTTCAACGCGCACTTCGAGGAATATACAATCAATTACATTACGTAGTTTCACGTAGACTATTAAATACTCTTCAATTTTATCGCACATTTTCGCTTTGATCGACATTCTTTAAATTTTATATAGTCATAAATATTACTTTATAACTATAGTGTATTAATATTTTACTTATTTTCTTTTAATATCATTAATATTTTTAATTAATGTATTAAATATATTAGTTTAAAATATACATATATTTAATGTAACATCCATATAATATCATATACAATCTGATTTGTTGAAATATTCGATATTATACGTAACGATTTAAATTTAGACAATAATTTCCATGTATATTGCAATTCGCGCGATATTCGAGACATCCGAGATATCCAAGAAGGATATCAGTTCAGTTACCTTGTTTCATTTACCTTGCACGCTTTGCTTTGGTGCCTTGCTATTTGCGATTCCGTTTTATTGCTCGATCTGCCATAAACGGAAACGGCGCGGTACCTCGTAAAAGATACGAGAGTCGCACGTCTACGGAAACTGGCATGCGCCCGTGCTCGGACAAATCATTCGGAACCAGAACGGCTTTACAGCATCACGAATCGCTCCGAAATTGGCTGTATACTGAAACGAGATTCTGTAACGACACGATCACGCCAATCGCGAGTACGTCTAATGGCGATGTTGGCTGACAATTAGTGTTTTATTCTGAAAAAAAGAAGATCGCTTATTGCTACACTCGTTCAATAAACTCATGATATATTTCATCCGGACGCGATATTGTTTCGCGGTAGAAACATATCTTCGAGATATGCAAATCGCGAATCGTAAATGTTATTACAAAGATAATCATCAAAAGAAACATCTTCAACGTGAATTTATGCGTGTAAATCTGATAATCGTTTTGACGACGATATCGTTCGTTTAAATTGTCGTCGCCCAACATCAATCTATCGACCGGAGCACGACAGGAAACCAGGTGGGCCAAGCCGCAAGTGCTGCTCCAACATTTTTAATGAACCACCAGTGGTGATCTGGACAGTGTCTCTGTTGGCGACAGTTGGCGTTCTTTGTGCCGGACGAAGCGGGAGAAACTACAGGCGGAACTTTCCAGCGGTGGCGGTTTCGAGACCCGTTTCCAACTAACCAGCAGACTTCTGGACGGCAAGTGGAGACTTGTAAGGGGACACCGAGCCAACGGGATCGACAACAAACAGGAACTGCAAAGGGCGGTACAGTTATCGGGTTACCGGCGCAGCTTAGCTTGATATGGCTGATTCATTGGCGGAAGTCGATTAGTCTCAACCTCATACCGTAATCATAAAAATCACGACTCACGACGACAGATGTCCCGATTTTTATGTCACCGAATTCGTGAATATATTGTCGCACTTCATGAAGTAACGCGTTTTGTAAGATTTTTAACAGGAAGAATAAAACATATTTTCGAATAGGAAGAATAAAACATTATATTCGAAGCTTCGACTTCCTTGCCTCGTGCACGTTTTGCCAACGATTTTCGTACAACCTATAATTCCGTATCGGGCCTGCCGCGGGGATTTGCACGGGATTCCGGAATTATCCCGGTGGCTGAGGGGGATGATCCTAAGTAAACACGCGTGCGGCCACACGACTCACGTCCCCACCATGCTGCGACGGAGTTTCTTCGTGCTCGCACAATTCCTTCGAAGCAACCACCAAGCGAATGGGAAGGAGGGGGGAGGGAAGCGACAATGACCGGTGTTGTTGTATGTACAAGGGCAGCAGATCGGTCCTTCGATTCGCAGAAAGAAGAATGAGAATTCGTGTGTAAGAGTGGAAAAGGTGCTACCTCCAAGCGGCCTCCGCGTTTTCGTCGCGCACCGAACGCGTCCCTTCATGAGACGTGTTATGTCACGAACTGTCTCTTTTAAAACCCACCGACAAGTCCCTGGACGACGAAAGCAGAGCAGTGACGGTTGCAGCTTGCTGGAAATGATGGATGAGACAAGTTGATCGCGACGAGGAGCGCATAACTCTTCATACTTGAGATTTGCAAAATTAATGCATTTTAACTTGACGCGTTTATTATTTTGTTTAATATAACGAATACAAAACTATGAAATTATTATTATCTTACTATCGATATCAGTCTTACTATATTTTTTTATCCTTTCTACATATAATGATATGCAAATAATGTATGCTCATATAATTTAAGCAAAATTGACTTTAATACTTTTGAAGATTGTTACTTTCTACCTTAGCGCAGCTGATGCTGGACACTCTAATACGCTCAAGGTAAATGTGGTTTGTGGTCAGAAGGATCACTTGCTCTCGATACGACACTGCATCTTCAGTCGTAAACGATAATAGCGACAATCTACGCGCCATAACGGATGCTCATCATTACTTCGAAATTGCAGTTCTCACTCGCAAACGTGACCGATTGTGTGCACAAAAAGCGCTTAAGTGTATTGTTTTACGTTCTTTATTTGGGCGAACGACGCTCCCATTGTGCACTTTTGATAGAAAAATGTACGCGATCACGTAAAAGTAATAATGGATAAATGCATCAGCCACATGTAACTATTATATTAAAGTCAGTTCTGTGAAGCTCCTTCATAAGAGTTAGAAGGAGTCGTTTCTGAAAAATTAAAAACCTCGCAGTTAGCGAGAGACAGTAGTGCGATTTTTTGCGATCACGCGACCTGAGACTCTCGCGCGTCTTGATTCTTCGAGTGTTCCCGGAGAGTGGACGAATACGTTTAAAAGGAGATCAGGTAAGACCAGTTGGAAACGTAGAAACGACACGCGGCTCGTCGGGAATCACAGTGAGAGAACATTCGTCATTATTACCATTGACCGTTGGTCCCTAGGGTCTACCCATTCGGGTTCCACAGGAAGTAGGCCGGTCGGATCAAGGATCAGGCTGCCCTTTTCCATTTTGAGGCGGCCCATTCAGGTGTAATGGTCAGTTAAAGACTATCCAAACAGAGGATACCACCGGTTTCGTTCGATGAACTTCCGAGTCTTCCTTTTTTCTCATGACCGAGTGTCTTCAGGTTTGAAGTCTTCCGCTTGAAGAATCGAATCCTTTGTTCGCACATTGAACTGACAGTCATCGAATTAGTTAATTTGAAATTTAGTTTTTAATCTTTCAGAAAAATAATAATAATATAAGATTCGTTAAGTTTAGTACCTATTTATTCTTGAAAAAATTAAGAGTCGATATTTTCTTTAGTATGCAAATTGTTTCCATTCGTATATTTTTTAATGTATATTTAACAAAATTTATATTTTGTTCATTTTTTATTCGATCAACCTTTCTACGAGAATTCGCGAATAGTTAACCGAGATCTACGCGAATAACTGAGACGAGCCCACCCGCGGTTGCCTAAATAGAGGAATCATCTCAAGTATATTTATCCACGTGATCGTCGAATAACAAACGTCGAAATCCTTAAATCCTAAATCAACCTGGCACGAGTCGAAACTGAAAGCAGACTGCAAACAAACGGCGGCAGTCGAACCGTGGAAGACTCGTTCAATGTGGCGAAAGTCAAATATTAGGTCACGAAATAAGACGTGCTTAGTGTTCGGGCGAGTTAAGCGATTTCACGGTAGTGCTCCCCCCCAAGCAATTTTCAATAATTTCCGGCACTTTATACAATTATGATATTTCCTGTTATATTTAAATTAAATGGTAATGAAAGATTTTCTTTTGTTAATTTATCTTTCAAGATAACAGTAAAATTACTGCAGTGTAAAAAAACAACGTTAGCAATCGCACGTATATTCATTCATTATAAAAAAATTTGCATAATACAACGTGTCGTTTGATTCGCTGCTCGAAACGTTTCTTCATCAAAATCGTAAAAAATGCTTTTGGCGTGGCTCTTGACTCTCTTCTTATCTCAACCCGTGCTAAGATGCCCGAGCAAAGGCAGTAGCGGCAATGACGAAGTCCAGAAAACGAAGAAACTGAAAACAAGACAATGACCGCTGTTCAAACATGTTCGGACTTCAAACGACCGCCGGCGTATCTCTCGATGCGGCTGCACGTGCATTAGCGGTTCGCAACGGCGAAGGAAAGTACGCCTCCATAGTGTCGTATCCTTTCGAGCTTCGGCCGAAGAACATCCGGCATTGTAGTTAATAAAATATTTGGGAAGGATGCTACGGAACGGTGCAGACGCGGCGAAGCCTTTCATTTGTAAGGACATGCCGAAATTAGTGTATCGGAAGCAACAACGAGAGATACATGGTAAAAGGAGAATATTTTGCTAGGATCAAACCGCAGCGCGAACGTCCAAACACTGGCCTTGCAAGCTGCGTTTTTAACCCTAACATATAGGATTATATATCTGTAGTTTGCTGAAAGAGACTTCCTTAAATTGTGTGTGTGTGTATGTGGTTTGGAGTATATGTTCCTACTTATATTTCTTCTATATCATAGTAGAGTTCCTATAATAAGAGTTAGGACACCATTAAGGTCAATCCAGACAAACTTGCATAGCGCATAAACATAAGCATAAGAAAATTGATTAGTCCATATGCATGTGCATAAGGAAATAGACCAATGGTTTCTTTATGCATATGGTTATGCACCTATGCAAGTTTGTCTGGATAAACCTTTATGTCTCATTCCCATTAACTTCTTGTCTATAAATGGTGGGCCAATCAAAAATCGAACTTGCGATGTCCTAACTTTTATTATAGAAACTCTATATCATAGGGGAGATGAAGGAGAGTTGCCACTGAGTTGGTATCGGTAGAGAGTTGGAACAGAGTTATTTTCTTTTAATAGTTGGTAGTATACTTTTGACCAGAATACAGTTGAATGTTGATCATCTTCGACGTGACACGTCAGAAGACTTTGTTGACTACGTTGTAAAGAACTCAGTTTTAAATCAAGGTAAGTAATACTATTTTTTACTTTTGAAAGTAATTATTTTCCTATATTTAATATTCGTGATATCTCTTTTGATGGCTACATTTCAGAAGAACCTTATTCAACACTTTCTAATATGTAGTTCTTATGGCTCGTCTACAATAGTCGTAAGGTGCTTTTATATGGGAGCGTCGAACGTCGAGCGTCAAGCGTCAATACCCTTGCGTAGATATCTAAACATGCAGATCGTGATTTCAGCTCAAGATGCTGAATAAAATGGCTATTGATTAGAATTAGCGTGAAGACGCTGAAATCTGCACATGTGTGCACGTGTTTGACGCTTGACGCTTGACGCTCGACGCTTGATACTACCATGTAATTGCATCTTAAGACGTAAGCAGTTAAGCAATTGACCAATCACAGTAAATTATTCTTGAATTGTAAAAATCATATTAATCAATAGCTTACTGCTTACGTCTTACTGCATACTCTTGCGGCTATTGTAGACGAGCTATTAAGCTTTACAGTACAAAAAAATCTGATTTTAATCTTTAACTTAAAAGTTTTAACGATCATTTTAATTTAAAAAAGGGAGACTTAGGACATTGAATTGAGGGAGAACTAAGGAGAGACGTCCTAGCTATTTTATTTCTTTAGCTAAATTTATTTTAATTTTTGTGAAAATAGAGAGAGAGAGAGAGAGAGAGAGAGAGAGAGAGAGAGAGAGAGAGA